GTAAGATTGGCTGGAATCTGTCCTGTCAAATTGTTCGAATCGAGTAAAAGAGAATTTAGCGACGAGCAACTTGATAGTTCGCCGGGGATTCGACCTGTCAAATTGTTCCATCCCAAATCAAGAACGCTCAAATGTGAAAGATGTGAAAGAGAAATGGGAACTTGCCCACTCAAAGAATTTGAGCGAAGATTTATTACTTCAAGAGCTGAACAATTCCCCAGTTCTGGAGGAAGTGAGCCAGAAACGTGATTGTTCGACAATGAAAGAACAACTAAAGACTTCAGGGCGCCAAAAGTGGATGGAATACGACCAGAAAATGAATTGAAAGAGAGATTCAAATACCCTAACCCTATCAAGCTACTCAAACCTTCAGGAACTACACCAGAAAACATGTTTTCCTGCAATGCAATCACTTGCAGATTAGGCAAACCCAAAAGATCGGATGGCAACTCTCCTGATAGATTCTGTTTGCTCAAATCAAGAACCGTCAACTTAAACAGACCCCCAAAACTTGCTGGAATAGTACCCGAAAAACCATTATTACTCAGATTCAAAACTGCAAGTTGCTTTAAATTCCCAATGCTCACTGGAATAGGCCCAGAAAACTTGTTTCCACTAAGATTCAATGAACTCAAATTTCTCAAAAGCATCAGTTCATCAGGAAACACTCCAATTAAGTGATTGCCTCTTAAATTAAGACTCTCAAGCAATGTCAAATTACCAAAACTCAAAGGAATGGAACTCGAAAAGTCATTTCCACCGAGGGATAGAAACTTCAAACTTCTTAACTCACCTAAAAACCCAGGAAAATCCCCTTTGAATAAATTACCCTCAAGATCAAGAACTTGTAAATTAAAACATTTCTTTATATCAACAGGAACCAAATCACCGAATGAATTGTTCGCCATTTTCAACTCCTCCAATCTCCACAAATTTTGAATCTCATTTGGAATAGAACCCGAAAATAAATTACCTGAAATATCCAGCTTTGTTAATGTGGAAACATTAATCAAAAAGGGCGGAAATTTCCCAGCAATTCGATTCTGCTGAAGATCCAAAACCCGCAAAACACTGAAGCACTCATCAGACTCTAGCGAGCCAATGTCTGTAAAAACATTGAACCCTAGCTGAAGAATCCGAATTGATGGAGGAGAATCTGACACATTGCAGAACAAAGACCCAGGCACCGAACCAGATAGATTGTTACGCGACAAGGAAACGACCTGAAGATTTGATAGTGAGCCGATCCCCGCCGGAACCACGCCACCAATTGCATTACCCTCGGCGCTTAGATGCACTAGCGACGAACAGTTGGCAAGCGCCGAAGGCAATGTGCCTTGCAGATTATTGTAGTCTAACCAGAGGTACTGTAGATTCTGAAGTTGCCCGAGACTCGCTGGAATCTCGCCGGAAATCCGGTTGTATGACAAATTGATGAGCTGAAGCTGGGAGCCAGAGGAAATATTATTCGGTATATCACCGGAAAATGCGTTCGAAGAAAGATCAACGAAACGGAGATTCTTGGGGAGGTCACCGGGGATTTCGCCGGTTAGGTAGTTTCCGGCAACGTTAAGGACTAAGAGGTTGGTGATGTTCGAGATTACCCGCGGAAGGGAGCCAGAAAATGAATTGTACTGAAGGAATATTGAGTTAAGATGGGCACATTGGGAGAGAGATGAAGGAATGGTGCCATTTAAGGAGTTGGAGTGGAGGCTCAGCTTTCGCAGCATGCGCAGGTTAGCAATCTCCGGGGAGAGTGCGCCGCTAAGGTGGAGCCGCGGGAGGCGGAGCTCACTAACCCAGCCGTTGTAGCAAGCGACGCCACGCCAGTCGCAGGGAGCTAACGGCGTGGAGGGCTCCCAGCCGGAAAGTGCTCCAAGCGGGTCATGTAGGCTCAGTTTAAA